GAGTATGGGTCACCATACTTGGCCACATGTCACGTCACTTTTCACTTTTTCACTTTTCACTTTTCAATATTACAGCGAGAATAAAAGTTACTCCTTCTTTCTTTGCGTTAACATTTGGGCGGCGTTATGCAAATTTTCCCAGATCGTGACGTAGGTATGTGGGGGCGTGTTAGAACGAGCCGTTTTAGGTAGGTGTGGCTGACTCTTAACTTTTATAAAGAATATCTCTTTGGATTTGAGACTTTAGTCTTTGCAACTTTACAGATCTTCTTTATGCACCAAGAGCTTGTAACACTCCAAAGAGAAAGGAAAAATTGAAATTGCATTATATGACCCCTTTAACAACTACCTAACTGTTAATAAGCAGCAAATTAGTAGTTTATTGAGGCAAAATTCGTAGTTAGTGGTTTGTTAATATTGAGAATTGGATCTTAAAATAAAGTGTGACAGAGTAATTGAATAAATAATCGACAAATCAATTACAACAGTAATCATTAAATAAATAAATAAATAAGCCCTAGCATATATGATTAGCACTTTCAGAACTTTTGCCAACTAAATTCCTCATTACGCAACACAATCACACCGGATCAGCATGAGGACAGATGTCAGGATACAGATCAGATGCACAGAAGGCCTAAATGATGTTTGTCACGGCAAATGGATCCGCAAGTCTCATGTCTCGTTCGCCCCGTAACAATGTTAGTCTCATGAGGCATCATGCTCCTACAGTATGTCAATGACCATCTATACCGGCTAATGTATGTCCAGCCATCAGCACTAAAGCACTTCTGTGTGTTTAATTATTGATGGGGCTTAGCATTGTTTTGTGAACAACCAGACTAATGTTGCCTTTAACTGTCGTTTATCCGTCTTCTGAGAAGTGGAGACTTCCAGGATGTGCATGGTCAAGAGTTTTATTGGGAGTTGTGCGTTTCCTTTTAATGAAACTCTGGCTAATATGTTCACACAGCACCAGAATATGGCTGTCAGTCCGGTTCAAGTGCCCCGTCAGATCCCGTCACTGTCTTTTATCAGAATCAGTTTTGTGACCTGGTCATCACTCAAATGCTGCATTATACATTCAGTTAAAATATATATATATTTTAAAGCCACTGTTGGTTAATTAAGATTTGACAGATGAACTAGTGCCTTGACTGGACTTGTTTACTAAACAATTTTTCAAATGAGATAGAACTTTTGGGTGTTATGTAATTCAGCATCTTTGATATTTACTTCAGTCACTTGTCACTCTGGTTGCAGATGTTGCTGTGGAAATAGAAAAGGCTCTTTAATTATTAGTTCATACAGATTTTATTCAGTCCTCTCCTGTAAGCTGCTGTATGAGCAGAACAAGTCACACCTGTTATTAAATATAAAAAATAAATTTTTAATAAATATGTAGTCAAATGTATACATTTACATTTGGTTTGTAACAGGGTTATTGTTTACTAAAACTAAAACCATACAAAAAGATTTTGTTACTTGTAATAAAATAATCGTAAAATAAAATAAAATAAAATATAACAAAAACATTTTATTTCAGCTAGTTGCTGAGTGAATATTTTCATTTAGGTTAGCTCGATGTACTAAAATAACAAAAACTGAAATAAAATGAAACAAAAACTTTAGACATAATAAAAAGGACAAACACAAGAAAATTACTAAAACTTTGATTGTGAATAGTGTCTAATAATAATGAATTCTTACCATTTTTTTAACTAAATCCTTTTTGTTAACCGAGATTTGCGCAGAGGTTATTTGATTTTGTAAATTGGGAGGTTCAGCATCTTTCACCTGAGTTTAATATTTTGTCTTTTCAGGAGAAGAGAAAGAGGGAGGCTGAGATTGAGAACAAAAGAAGACTACTTGAGGATGACCGCAGACAACTCCAGCATCTCAAGGTATCAAGACATAACAGCTAATAGGTTGTGGATATGTTTTAAAAAGCTGAGCAGGTGTTTGCCGTGGTCATCATTCAGATGGCTGTCAGAGGTTTTTACCCAGAGGTTAAGAGTCAGAGCGCTGTGGCGTGTCTTCCTTATGTAATGTACTGTCTGTCATCTATTTGAAGCCCTAGTGTTGAAATTCATAATGTGAGAATGATTTTTCAGGATTTTGAATTTGCTGAAAGGAGAAGGGGAAGTTTTAACAGTAGTTTCCTGTTTGAGGGGACAAGGGAAGAAATTTGTATCCTCCCTTTAAGTTCTGCCTTGTTATGATAAGACAGGCCGTCTCACGTATTTTTGTTTTTAGAAAGCTCATTTACATTTTATGGGAATCATGAGATCCTTTTCATTTTAATGGCCTTTTTTACTTTATTTAAATGTAACCACATTCTTCATACAAGGTACACCTCGGTAGGACAACATTTTTAGAGTTGCCGTCTGTATTTTGTTCACAACTAGAGACATTAAATTGAAAAGCAAAAATAATGACCATTTTTTAAACGGGTTTCTAAAGCAAAAATTTGCCCTCTCTCCCCTTATGTTTGCACTTTTAAGAGAAAACAACCCAAATTTTAGTTGTCTCTGCAAATTAGGCCTGAATAGAAGAAAGTGTTTTAACAAATCAAAATAATAATGAACACAGAAGCTTTAAAGTTTATAAATGTAACTGTTCTGACTTTAAAAGATCAGAACCTCACTTTTCACAGACACGCTCATGCATATTTAATCATAGTCATTAATCTTTTAAACGTGTGCAATAATAAATGATGTAATTTCATTATTTGACAGCAAACAATCAGGTGTTATAAAAACAGTTCATTAATGAACTGTATATATGGTGTCATTTTTATGATCTCTGAATGCCTTCATACATTATTACTAGTTATTTTCAAGCCAAAATACGAAAACTGCTAAATTTACGCAAATCCTAAAGATCCCAAGTCTGCTGCAGAGAATCCCTGGTCAAAAATAACTTGCCTGCGTGCCTATCCTCATCTCCCAAGTATCCGGCAAGGCGATTGTTTCCCTTTTGTTATCTGTCACAATGTGATATTTTTTGTTTGTTAGTTTTATACCTGCCATTGTTTTTTGTGCATAAGGGATTTTGCTCAATAGGGAACAATGGAGCAGGCCTTAGTTTCCTACCGAGCGAGACTCAGATCCTTTGTCCTCCCTCTGTGCTGGGATTGTATTGCGTGTGCATGTGGATGGGTGTGAACATGTGGTGATGTCATCATATCTGTCACCATGCCAGAAGTTGCGGTCACAAAGCCAAAGCAGAGGGAGGGGGCTGAGAGAGCAGGAGAGGGTCATTTTGGACTGTTTTGAATGTGGAAGTCACAAGATATTATACAAAATGAAGTAACTTGTTGCTAATTCTATGTGAAGGATTACGTCTGATACTGACCCAGTTTCATAAGAATAGGGAGTAGGTAAGACATTTTAAGAAGGCAAAATGTAAGATCTCATGTTTTTCCATTTGGTCATTTTCAGACTGCACACAATAATGTCAGTAATTGCCTCAGTCTTTTTTAGTTCATGTGACTGTGCTTTTTCCATGAATGACTCTTTTTGACATTCTGCGAATGGTTTTTTTTTTGTTTTGTTTTTTTAATGATGAGGTTTTTTGTCCATTCAGTAATATATTTGAGTTCACTTGCCTTTAAAAAACTAATCGCACACTCACTTTTTTAGCAACTAGGGAAGAAGTGTCTTAAGCATAGTGGTTATAAAATTATTAAAGGGGTCCTATTATGCTTTTTCACTTTTTCAACTTTAGTTAGTCTGTAATGTTGCTGTTTGAGCATAAAAAAAGATCTGCAAAGTTACAAAGCTCAAAGTCCACTTCAAAAGGAGATATTTTATTTAACAGAAATCACTTTTCAAAAACTACAACGAACGACTCGTTTGGACTACAACACATATTTTCCGGGATTTGTGATATCACAAATATCGACGAATGGGACGAGACCTGGTTGAGCTGCACTAGAGAAGGCAACGAGTGTTATCACTATGTCGGAGACACGCTAGTTTTCCCAAGGCAGTCGAACATAGAGTGATTACAATCATCCGGGTTTAAACCGCGCTCAAATTGATTTGATTTTGATGCAATATTTACACTGAAGCTGGCAGGCGGCTATGGTAAGGGGCATGACATTTCCCGACCAGGCGCCGAGTGCTGCCAATCACAACACACACTGGCCCAGCTAACCAATCACAACACACACTGGCTCAGCTAACCAATCACAGCACATTTCGTATTTCAGAAGACGGGCCTTCATTTGATACAGGAACTATTCGAGCCGTTCATGCCAGACTGGGGAGAGAGGTGTTGTAATAATGTAAAATATATGAAAAATAATGTGTTTTTCGAACAACCTAGTATGAGAGCCTGTTCTAGTACACCTCCAAAACAAAATCAAGACTTCGTAAAAGAGCATAATAGGACCCCTTCAAGAGTGGACTTGCTATAAGAATCGTCAGACCTCAGATTTACAATGCAACGATGGATGCTGTGCTGCTTGTATGGTTTACTATTACTCAACACCTCTGATGTCTTCATCTTTTTTTTTACCATACTCTTCTTTCTAGTCTAGCAGATGAGGTCCCTTGTTTGTCCATTGACCTTCGTCTTCATGCTTTTGTTATTTTGTGGTTTTCACCTCACCTTTCCTCTCCTCCTTTCATCCCACTCTTAGTTTTTTCTTTCTTTTCATTTTCTTCTCTAGAGGCCTGTCGGAATGAATCTTTCAGGTGTCAGCCTTGCAGAGCTCAGACACCACTGTCTGTACAGTAGAAACCGTAAGAATGAAAGGGAAAAAAAGACATCAAACCTGAAAGCAACTGTATAAAATTCTAGAAGTTTGTGAAATCTAATTCTCAAATAATGTCATCACCTACATCTCAGCTTCCTTTTTGTGCAAGTTTTAAGCTCTTTATGAAACAACAGGTGTTATCAAGAGATGTGATGTTTTTTTTCTGTTTTGTTTTATCATGGGTCTTGGGTTCACTGTTTGATGTTCAGCAGATGTTTGTTTTTATCTGCTGCAGGTTGAACAGTCTCTTCTGTCTCTGCTGCACTAGAATAGAAACAGCACTGGTGGCAGCAGCAGTTTGTAATGATAAATTTGTTTGTCATAAAAAAGCTTATGCCATTAATCACTAGTGCTCTGTTTGCATTTGTCTCATAATGTGACAACTGAATGAAACAGGATATTCTGTGGGGGAAAAAAGTAGGGCGGTCTTTGTTTTTGTTTTTTATTATACTGCATGACAGGTGACTGGATGCAAAGGGACTCTATAGACATCCAGTGTGCCAGGATGCCTTGCATTTCTAATTCTAGTGCATTGCCATCTCTAGTGCCACCTATGCTTGTACCCGAAATATCTTCCATCCTTGTGCCAGACACAGATGTCAGAATTCTCTTTAGACAGCAGTGGTTCATTCTGGTCCTGCCAGTCTAACCCTGCTCTGGCAGGAAGCCCTGTTTGAGCAGGCGCCTGTCAAAATGTTTCACTATCCAGAAATGTGCATAGTGTGCATTAGTAGCCATGGAGAATGCCCTAAAGTGAAAAACTAATGGACAGCTAATGGTCATGTGCTACACTAACCTTAATGGTGCAGATTTGTTTACGTCAGCACAATGAATCAGACTGACATTAACTCATTTTTCAAGCATTAATTTTGTCAATATCATGCAATTAGGGACATGATATAGGGACCATATACACACACGCTTACTCAGCAAGAATGCATTACACTGGTTAAAAGTTACAGTAAAGACATTTATAATGTAAATGCTGTTCTTTTGAACTTTCTATTCATCAATAAAATACTGAAGACAAAAAAAATGTATCACGGTTTCTACAAAAATGAGCACCATATTAGATTTCTGAAGGATCATGTGACACTGAAGTAAATATTGTGAATAATTTACAATTTAAAATATATTTAAATACAAAAACATTATTTTAAATTGTAACATTTCATGATATTACTGTATAGTATTTGCAAGATGTTTATGCTGTTGAAGTATTGTTAACTCCTCTAAAAAGACATCTCTAAGCCATTGGTTTGTTTTACCAGTCAAAGGCATTGAGAGAGCGATGGCTGTTGGACGGAGCGCCATCCAGTGGAGAGGATGAGGCACAGAAACAACTACAAGAGGATGAAGCCAAGACCAAACTACTGGAGCAGACCATCCTCAGGTTAAGACCAGTCATTTAGTCATTTGATACCTTCCTTAGTCCCAGACAAAATTCTAGCATACATTGCTCACATGTTCACTTATCTTTTCCATTAACAGACTAGAACAGGAGATTGATGAGCTTGAGAGTGGAGAGCCTTTGAATAAAGGAGAAAATGTAAGCTATTAAGTGATTTTTTTTGTTAGTTTAGTAAAGGTTTTAATTCTGATAATAATAATGACTTTCTGTCATATGTCTTCTCTACTAGGCACCTGATGGTCCAGTGAAGGGTGAGTGTGGAAATATGCTGTATATTTTAATATTTTCAGTTCTCCATCATCTCTGTATAAATGTAACGGAAAGGATTGACTTGTTATCAGTTTGTTTGCAGTAATGGCCACTGTGTACTTTCACTGTTGTCATGTGAAAGAGCCAACGGGTCTAACAGAGTTCAATGAATGTTCATATAAATACTGAATAGCAGCTTCATTTGAAATCATTAACTGATTATTCCATTTGGCTTAAACAGTAGTGCAAGTAAAATTAGTCTCTTTCTCTGTCCCCAGCAGTTGAGAATGGCATACAGCAGCCCAGCCCTAACGCAGATCAAAATAGCAAGAAACAGATCACAGGCATTGAGGCCAAACTGCAGTGCACCAACCCTGATGTAGCCATTGAGAATGCCAGCGCAGAGCATCCCGTCACCATGGTGTTCATGGGCTACAAGAATGTAGAGGATGAGGCTGAGACCAAGAAGGCACTGGGCATAGAGGAGACAGTGAAAGCTGAATTTGTGGTCATTGAGGACGGCGAGAGCAAAGCTGGAAACGAAGGGGCCAAAGAGGACCAGGCCCCACCTAACGGCAGCGCCTCTAGTCCCGACAAAGCTCAGGATGAAGCCAAGAAGGAGGAATCGAAAGAAGGCAATTCGAAAGAAAAGCAGCCGTGCAAGTGCTGCACAGTCATGTGAGTGCGACCGCTCACCCTGAAGTTTAGACTCTGACCCCCTGACCATAACACAACAATGAATAAGTATACCTCGTATACTTATAATTATCTTTTGTTGTCTAGTATGTATTTCTTTTTTATTTCTATTAATATTTTTCTATATTTCTGTCTTGACATGTATATATCTATATATACATATATTTTCATTATGTAATCTTATGAAGTCCAGTATTTTGCTTGTTGAAGAACAGAAAAATGAGGACCACAACAGATTCCACTTTAGACAACAACACGGTTAAAAGAAAATTTTTGTGGCCCTCATCTTTATTTTGTTTTAAGAAAATAAGATGAACGTCTCAATATATATGAACTAGTTATTTATCTCCAGTATACATTTGTGTTTCTAAGATATTACTTTATAACTGAGAAGAAATGACTATATTGATATTACAATGTTATGCTTTTAATATATATTTTGAGCCTTTTGTTCTGTAAAAAATTTTTTTTTTTTTGCCAAATCATCTCAGACCACTGTGAACACTGGTACATGGAGTGTCGTCTTTGTCCACAATCATACATTCTGCATTACACCTCATAGTAGGCCAATATGTTTGTAAATATGATGCAATTATTTATGACTGTTCATGCTATGATAGAATACATGTAATCATGTTTTATTAAAATAGGCTGCTGTAGTTACCCCAGATCCCAATTATAACCACAGCAGATATCTGTTTTAACAGTACATCACTTTTTACAAGATAACCCATTTTAAACCCTTTTAAATCTCTTTTTAACATGAATGATAACATTGTTAGATATAATTGTAATCAATATTAATTCTTTAAAAATGTAGTAACATTGCAATGCCTCATATTACATGTAGCCCTTATTATTAAAAAGCATTCTCACAGTATGCAAAATATATCTTTATATAATTTGAAAAAAAAAAAAAGAATTGTGTGAAATTGAGGGTTTTTGGTGTTAATTGGGTTGCTGTAAGAAAACGAGTTCAACATCCATGTTTCAATGTTCAGGCAGTTCATTCACAATGATAAATCATTCATTAGTGTTAATTCAAGATAAATAGTCTGGGGTCTAAAACATGTTTCTCATTCTGAGACCACAGTTTTGTAAATGTAGTTTTGCCGTCTTTCTGATATTTCAGTTTAATGAATTATTTCATTTTGTGTAAGATAGTATATGTTGTGGCTGTCAAATAATGTCATGAATTATAGGTGCTTTATTGGTATGGCCAATGCCTGTTATGGTCCAAGTGTTCAAATCAGGAATAATGACAATAAACAAAACATGTTTGTTTACAGTTATGTATTGGTATTTCTTTGGTAATTATATTTTCACTCACCTGCAGTCAACAAAGTCTGACACGGTTACAAATGGCAGTTGTTTGGAAAATTAATTGTTTTGATTTCCCTAGGGACAAAATGTTAGCACACTGCATGATTGATGATGATATTGTGTATCCAGAGAAAGAGATTCTGTGAACTCATTTAGTTCAAATATTTACTCAGCAATTACTTTTATTGTTTCAGGTGTAATAACTTCAAAATCGATATCAAATGTAATTCATGATTGCAGAGTATCAACAGACAGATATCCTACCAAAAAACACATTTTAAAGTTGGTTTCTGTACCCAATATTTAAAAAATTTACAAATGTAATAAAAATATAGGTATCGGCATCGGTATCGGCAAGTACCAAAAATAAAAGTATCGGTATCGGGCGAGTACTGGAAAAAGTGGTATCGGTGCATCCCTAAAAGGCACCCATGTGAGCCTCAAAAAACTTTTGGAGTGTGTAAAGGTTGCCATCTGCAGGCTGAAATTAATTTGATTACCCTGTGAAGCAGCAGTTTGTAGGCTAAAGTGATGCTACTCTCTACTACTGTCATGTTATATTTAGAACTGGTGTCAGGGGGGAACAACCGGAACATTGTCCTGGGCCCTGTGATGAGTGGGGCCCATTGTGGTCCTCTATCTATTCTACGGTATAGCCTACTCACTGGGCCTGAAGAAGGGGAGGCCCACCCATTAAACCTTTTCCCAGGCACATAAATTCTAGTGACAATGCCGATTATATTAGCATTCCACAAAGATGGTAGATAAATGACTCAAAGATTTTAAATCTGAGTACATAGGCAGTAACGATTTGGTGAATTAAAGTAAATGAGGCTATCATTTGCCATTCATCTCCATGACAAAATGGCTTAAGTTAAAGTAACAATTCACCCAAAAATGAAAATTCTGTCATCATTTACTCATCCTGTGTTCTTCCAATTCAAGTGTCATACACTTTCTAAGCTTTATTTCTTGTGTGGGAGCACAAAAGAAGATTTATTTGAGGAATGCTGTTAACCAAACTAATCACTGACATTCATGTGGACAAAACTCTGACAAGTTCCTCAAAGTATCTCCTTTTGTGTTACTCTGAGTCGGAAGACTGAAAAAGCCTGAAGATAGAATTTTCATTTTTGGGTGAAAAATTTACACTAAGCCAAATTGTAGAACAATTAAATGTGCTTAGTGGTTAATGGTGAAATTAATCAATTAAATTGCTCAGTGTCTTTAGGTTTTCTAGAGTCTAAAGTCATATTTAAATTTTTGACTAAATATCAGCTGATTTATGCCACCCAAACCCCTATTTTCTTCAAATATCATTATAACCTTACTGTTCTTAGCTAATTAAATATCTTAGCAAAGCGTCATGTAAAACTGTTTTTCTCTCTAACTGAACAGCCTCGTCCTTGTCGTTGCTGATAATGGGTTCAAGCACAGTTCACTCCTTCACTTCATTTCTCATGGTGGCAACCGTGAAAAGTTTTCGCAAACTTTTTTCGACCGCCTTTCCAGATTGACAGCCTTTCTGTCCAATCCCGTTATCGAAGAACATTTGAAGCCCCTCCCACACTCGGCGCTCCAGGGTCGACGGACTAATCAGAAAGCGCCAATCCCCCCTCCGCCATTTTGTAAGGATATAAGAAATACTAGCAGGTCTACCTTCCGTCTACGACAACCTGTAGTTTTGTTAGTGCCATGGACGGGTAAGTTAAAAACACCCTCATTCCAAGTTTGTTACCCCTTAAACACGTCTTTGTCTTTGGATATTTTATATATAGTTATGACTTAGTACATCATGCGCGTTTAAAGTGTGTTAAATGACGTAAAGTGAAGTGGAAATGGTGATTTTTGACTCGCCTCTGCCGCTCTTCATGTCTCCCGAGCCGGAAGAGCCCAAAAGTTGGACCAAACTGACCAGCAACCTGTTGCAAGTCGTCTAGCTGAGACGGCTTCATGAAACACAAGCGAACTAGAGCTACAGGATTTTTTAAACCTTACTCTCAAGCGGAAAAGATCAAACGAGGCTTGTAACGTGCAGAAGCGAAAGAACAGCCACTATTTGGCAACCAACGTGTCTCTGTTTCCGCATTGTTGTTGGGGGGCTAGCTAATTACCTGCTAGCCTGCTAAACCGATGCCAGTTCAACTTTATTCTTGCTTTTCTCGTTTGTATTGTCGATGCACGTTACATATGTTTCAATCATTACCAAGTACGTTTGATAAACGTGCGAAAGTCCGGTCACAGTACGTTAGCTGTTTTACATAATGACGCGGTGAAGATGTCACTGGTGGTTCAGAAATAATCTTGATTTAAGGGTGTGAATAATAACGTTTTATTTACGTGTAAGTATAATCGAAAAATTAATATTTAAAAGCATGCACCTACTTATGCTGGTTATAAAAGGTAAGTTACACGTTGTATCCGCAGGGGAGATTTAGCTTAAAATATAAATTGTCATGTTACTCACCATGTTTCAAACCTTTATAAATAAATTTCTTTAATAGAACAGAAACAGAGATGTTAGGCAGAACGACAGCCTTCAGTCTACAATAAAAGTTAATGGTGACCGAGACCTGTCATTGAGCATAAAATCTCTTTTTGTATTCAATGGAAGTTAGAAAAAAAACGTACAGGTTTAAAACATGATGACATGATGAAAATCCTGTTTTTGTTTTCTGCAGCCGTTTAGAGACTGATCTGTATCCTCTGGGATCCAGTTATGTCACTGAAATAGAGTAAGTTTTGCATTTCTATAAATATTCACTGGTTGTACTGCATTATCACCTGAATTGACCTAAACTGAAGAATTCAAGCTATATTTCCAAGAAAAGCATGAAAACATTGATATTGTTGATTGGCAGAAAGAGTGGCTTAACAGGCCTGCTTTGTTTTACTGTTTGCCTTGTGTATCAGGTTGCCGCCTAGAAGGTGCAGCCTTAAAATTTAACTCTTCTTTTGTACAACAGCCGTCTGTTGTTCCTCCTGGGCCCATATTCCAAAAAAAAAAATCTATTATATAACCTAATATAAATCTACATTAGCATTTGACATTTTTGTATCCGTACATATCTTGAGCCCTGTTCACACTGATTAAATCATTGAAGGATGGCAAGTCACTGTGTCAAACTTTCTGGCAGTTCTGTCTGCACTCACATTGGTAATCACTGCATTGTTGCTGATTATCAGCATAAAGTTGAACTCTTAACAGATATCATTCATTTTCAGTAAGAGTTGCCGATTTTGTTGGCAATGCACAGTGACTTGGTGACCTTCAGTGATTTGGTCATTTTTAGCATGCATGCGAAGTCGGCGTAAAATGAAAATGCACTTCTTTTTTTTTTCCCTTCTTTTTTTTTTTACCTCAATTTATTACAATCGTAAGTCAATGTTCCGATGAAATGACAAACTTCAATCATTTACTACACTTAAACCCCACCCCTTTCTACATGTCTTATTCAAATTTGCCTCCGTCCAATCAACAACTGATGGGTAGAACCAAGTGCCCACCCTGCTTTTTTCAATAGTTCGTTTCACTAAGATTTACGTCACAATATGGAAGAAACTATTGTCTCTGCTTCTATTGCATCGCAACTTAAAATATTGCATAGGCCTGTCTTTTGCTGCATTGCCATCAAATGTACTTTAGCATCAAGACTTTTGTATTTTCTAATATTCTGTTTAACTTTGGTTCTTTTGTAGCAGTGTCCATGATATAACGGTCGGCACAAAGGTATGTCATTTTTTATTTTTCAAACTTTTTTTTTTTTCAATAGATAAATGTTGATTTTCCCTAATTGTTTGTTGCAGGTGTTCAGTAACAATACTAGTTTTGGTTGTATATCTGGTTTTAGAGGTTATACCTTCCTACATTTTAGAACTGCTCTAAATTGCTGAGCCTGAAATTCTTGTCCCATCTGCATTTGATCCTGCAACTGTAATTACTCTAGTCAAAGGTCACCTACTGTTTAAACAGTCACTGTGATAAGTGACCCAAAGGTGAAAGAAGTAGCCTACACTAAAATCTTGTAATTGTTCTGTAGACAATTCGTAAATGGTGACCTGGGTAATTTACTTGTGATTTTGCTGCATACAGTTATTCGTTTACAATATTGCTTTTTTCACACTCATTTGCACTTGTTTGAGCACAGAGAACCGCCTGCTGTTGTTCCCCCTGATGTCTTTCACACATGTGAGGAGGAGTAAAGATGTAGTCGATTGAGTCGCAGCCCTGTCGGAGTCTGAGCACTAATTACTGTGGCTGGAATGCTGTGGTTGCATTCCTGTCTCCCTGACCCCCTTATTCAACACCGACTGTGCTCTCACCCAGGAGGCTTGCACTTTGTCAATGGATGTAAACATGTTGGCACCTGCAAGTCTTGAGCTCCTAGAGACCAGTGTGGGAGTCATGGTTCTCTGCTTAGTTTTTTCTCCTGTCCTAAGTGAGTGCTCAAGCTGCAATGCCCCGCAGTTAAAAATAGAGGAAGGAAATGCTGGAGTTGGGTGGATGTCTCACTCGAAAACAATGGATGGTTCAACCAGAGAAGGCTTTCCTGTCATAACTGCTCTGTGAAAGTGATGTTGAAACCTGACTCCTGCAGGTTTTAGCTGGGAGGAATGTAGTGTCACACTATTGATTGTGTTTATGCTCTAGGCTGCTTATTGAGCCTTCGGGGCTGTGTTTTAGGTAAACTTTATCCAGGGCGTGGTAAAGTGCCCTTGAGGCTGTTTGTAGTAGACTGTGGGGGGGAAATCAGCCCGAGGACCAGGCGTTCAGCTTTGGTAACAATACTTTCCTTTTGGCTGGAACAGAACATGCATTGTGGTAATAGTGTAAAGACTTTGGCTTAGCCAGCGCATGTGACCACTTCAGCAGAGACTAGCCATTTGAAGTGGTTTATTAAGAGAGTGATGCTGAATGATTTGCTCATTGCTCCACTGGCCAGCCAAGTGGCTCCAGCTTGGCCTTGAGTGAGAGACTTTGTATTAGTGTTATGGCAGGACACAGCTGCCTCTGTTTGCCTTTCTCTTTTTCTTTGTTCTGCTTTTACCAGCAGTAAACTGTGTAGTGCTCTTGTGTATAGATGCCTGGGCCACGAATAGTTGTAACCATTAGGCAAAGAAAATAGATTTGTCATTTTGGAAATGTATTCCAATTGCGTCATCTTAATGATTGTGTAATCAAGATGACGGTTAGGCGGATGCAAATCTTTGTCACATGACTTCCTATAATTCTGTGTCCGATTATATTTTAACCCTTACAGCAGGGCTCCAGACAAAAAAAAATCGAGTAAGGAGCCATTGGCTCCTTTAAGAAATAAAATATTTTTTTGGTGCCACAGAATAAACGCGTTTTATTTTTTTTTAACATTTTGACCTTTCAATCATACGGTCATGTGTTTGTCTAATTGTTTCTCTTGACTTTATCAGCATTTGAATCCATCTTGTAGATGACCTGGAATCTAAATGTATTTTCCAACTTGAAATGTACAGTCACAAAGAAATTGTTTATTACACAGAATCTGTACCAATATCATGGACCATAAGCATCACTTGGCAATTGAGTGTACACAAGTAATTGCATTTTAATAAATTTAAGTTAGTCCAACTTAAAATAAAAAGTGAACACATTTTCAAACTGTTATTTGTCAGTGTAACTCAGAATTGTCAAGTTCACTTAATGCATTTCTTTAATTGTGCATTAAGTTTATTTACCTAATTTTAAGGCAACGCGTTTCCTCAATTTTGTAAAAAGTCAACTGATCACTTTTTACAGTGTTAGTTTGGGCTCCTCCTCAATGCATCCTATAGAAATGTAATGTTGTCATATCTCTCACACATCCAGTCTGTTTTTCTTTATTAGTATCATGCAATTTTATAGGACGTGTTGAATTTTCTTTAGCTTGCATTCTTGCATTTTTTTTATGTAGACAACAGGTTAAGTAAAAATATTAGTATGCAATAGTGAATAAATATAGAAAAATGCTCCTCTTTATAGTTTTTTTTTCTAGCTGATTGATGAGCTTATGGATGCCCAATGGTTATTCTGAGGTAAATGTATTGTTACGTGGCATTGTTTACAAGCTTTTCACATTTTCTGCAGTTTGACAGAATGAGCGATTACATGAGACATTTCAATACGTTGTACTGTAGGCTCTCTTATAAAATAGCCTAACTTTTGATGTTAATTCACGTTCATTTCGTACTATAGTAGAGGAAGATATAATAGGTTCACTTGCCGCTTGAACTGAGGTGCTAAAGCGATTGCGCCTGCCGCATTTAAAGAGCGCCAAAACCGTATTTATTGTGTGAATTTCGTTATGAATTTGGCAGAATGTTAAAGCTGATACTTTGTTTATTAAAAAGTAACAAAGCTTATTGCGATTACTGGACGGCAATGTAAATATACAAAAATGCTGGGTTAAATATGGACAAACCCAGCGATTGGGTTGTTCTCAACCAACAGTTGGGTTAAATGTTTAACCCAACCTTCTGGGCAGTAATCGAACCGCTGGGTCAAAAACAACCCAATCACTGGGTTTGTCCATATTTTACCCAGTGCTGGGTTGTATTTAACCCAGCATTTTTTAGTGTACACAGTTGTCAGTGGTGACCTCAGCAAAAACTTCACTCGCAAATTAATATTTTTGGTCGCAAATGCGACTGTTTTAGTCGCAGTCTGGAGCCCTGTACAGGCATGCTTCTCTGGCTCCTTTTTCTTTAAGGCAATATCTCATCTCTCTTTTTTTTTTTTTCTTCTTTTTTTTTAAACATATTTTGTCAGTTACGTGACCTTATTTTTGTTCCGGTGGTTTACATCTAATGGTATTGCAGTGTGTTTGGGTTCTTCTGTTTTGAGGTTTGAGTGTCCTATTTTGCAAACCTTGTAAATGCATCCTGCTTAATGAACCACTTCCCTTGTCCTTTCAGAGAGGATCTGACGAACTCTTTTCCTCCTGCATATCTAACGGACCTTATATAATGAGCTCTGGAGCAGGTAGGCTTTTTTGACTGTTTTTATCAAAAGTAGATCAAATTGATTTAAAACAAATGCTATTCTTTTGAACTTTGTTCGTCAGAGAATCCTGAAAAAAAAAACGGAGTTTACACAAATATTAGGCAGCACAACAGTTAACATTAACATAATTGTAATAACAAGAAATGTGTTCTTAAGCAGTGAATCAGCATATTAGAATTTCTGAAGTATGTGACACTGAAGACCCGAGTAATGGCTGCTGAAAATTCAGCTTTGCCAATCACATGAATTATGTTGCATAACTTAAACTATATTACTAAGAATTACTAATTCTTACCAACCTCAAACTTTTTAGTATTGACATTCTTGAGAATGAAATGAAATTGAGACTGTCTCTTCCTGTCAGCAAATGGTAATGACAGCAAGAAGTTCAAAGGGGACATCAGGAGCCCAGGCATTCCTTCACGAGTCATTCATGTACGCAAACTGCCAAATGACATAAATGAAGCAGAAGTTATTTCTTTGGGTCTTCCTTTTGGCAAAGTGACCAATCTTCTGATGCTGAAAGGAAAGAACCAGGTAAAAATTGCTGCTTCCTTTCATTTCCCACAAAATGATTACCCTGCTTTGACGTACAACATTGTGCCTGGTCTTATTGTGTTATCTCCTCACAGGCCTTCCTGGAGATGAACACTGAGGAGTCAGCACAGACCATGGTCAGCTACTACTCCTCTGTCACCCCTGTCATCCGCAACCACCCGATCTATATGCAGTATTCCAATCACAAGGAGCTAAAGACTGACAACTCACCCAACCAAGTTGTGAGTACAAATTACATCACATTAGGCGATCAATCAAGGACAATTACTCCATATAAATGGCTTGTTCAAGACTGATAATGTATGCTTGTTTTCTGCCCCCTCCGTTCCCATAGAGAGCACAGGCAGCACTGCAGGCGGTGAATGCGGTCCAGACAGGAAGCATGTCTTTGAGCACTGTTGATGGAGCAGGCATGGGCAGCCAAAGCCCTGTACTAAGAGTCATTGTTGAAAACCTCTTCTACCCAGTTACTCTTGATGTTCTTCACCAGGTGCTAACTCTCCTTCAAACTAGTGGTTCAACGGATCACAAATCTCACGGTTCGGATCACATTACAGTTTTTGACCCACGGATCGGATAATTTTTCGGATCAGCAAGAAAATAAAAATATTTCAATTCAACTTGCTTTCCATTTATTACTTAAAGCGAAGTACTACTTTGATACCACAGCAAATACTACTAGATTAACTAAAGTTTAAACATTTTTACTGGCTGTTCTCTTGTCTCTTTAATCATAAGAACAAATACACAAATTACAAGCATAGATAAATACAACAGAATGTTACAAATAAAATAAGGTTGGTAGTATTCAAATACAGAAATGTAGTAATTAGGGAAAATAACACTGCATAGTGTTTACTGTATAAATTAAATATAGATTTTTATCACAGCTGTTTTGTTGTTTGATGATCATTAATGACCGCAGCAGTATTTATAGGCCGCTGTCCCTTTAAGACCTGATGCACGGATCCGATATAACGATACACATCACATACGATTTCTTTCTCAACTGTTTTCATTCACTTGAGACATAACTGACTGCGTTTACCTGAATGATTGTCGAGATAGGTATTTTGTCATAATTGTGTATGTGTCTGTTCAGAGGATTCAAAAGAGGATTCAGTTCGGTGTTCGCGCACTGTCTGAAACGTGTGTGTGCGCGCTTCATGTGTGTGCGGCTGTGCGCGTAGAGAACAGTGCGCGAGTAACGAATCGAGTTCCCTTTCGCCTTTTCTCTCTGGAATTGTTTAAAATTCGCTTGCTTGTGTAAATACGAACAAATGATAAACTTATACTCTGTTATGGTTAAATTTTGCAATTAATCCGCGGATCACATGCGTGCCGAACCGTGGGGCTTGGTCCGTACGGATGATGGATCAACTACGATCCGTTTAACCACTACTTCAAACTAAATTGAGGGAAAAATATCAAAATGCTAAATTTGTTTTAATCCCCCCTACTTAGATCTTCTCAAAGTTTGGCACAGTTTTGAAGATTATAACCTTTACCAAAAACAACCAGTTCCAAGCACTGGTCCAGTACTCAGACGGAATGACCTCTCAGCATGCAAAACTTGTAAGTGTCACAGCGGATCAATATCTTAATGGATGAATGGGCAGCTAAATCCCTTCTGAACCCTGTAATCATTTGGCTTAACATTCAACAGTCTTTAGATGGACAGAACATCTACAATGCCTGCTGTACCCTTCGCATCAGTTTCTCTAAGCTCACCAGCTTGAATGTTAAGTACAACAACGATAAGAGCAGAGACTACACTCGCCCTGACTTACCTACAGGAGACAGTCATCCTGCCCTCAATGCACAGACGATGGCTGCAGCTGCCTTGAGTAAAACTTAATCTAATACTTTATTGCTGTATTTAATAAATGGCGTTTTCATGCAGAAAATCACAAACTGCATTTTCTTTGCACTCAGCTGCTCCTGGTATCATCTCTGCATCACCATATGCTGGGGCTCATGGTTTCCCACCAACATTTGCCATTCAGCAGGCAGCAGGTCGGTCACAGCCTTTATAATGGATCTCTGTGGAAGTGTTCACTGTATAAATTAAATATAGATTTTTATCACAGCTGTTTTGTTGTTTGATGATCATTAATGACCGCAGCAGTATTTATAGGCCGCTGTCCCTTTAAGACCTGATGCACGGATCCGATATAACGATACACATCACATACGATTTCTTTCTCAACTGTTTTCATTCACTTGAGACATAACTGACTGCGTTTACCTGAATGATTGTCGAGATAGGTATTTTGTCATAATTGTGTATGTGTCTGTTCAGAGGATTCAAAAGAGGATTCAGTTCGGTGTTCGCGCACTGTCTGAAACGTGTGTGTGCGCGCTTCATGTGTGTGCGGCTGTGCGCGTAGAGAACAGTGCGCGAGTAACGAATCGAGTTCCCTTTCGCCTTTTCTCTCTGGAATTGTTTAAAATTCGCTTGCTTGTGTAAATACGAACAAATGATAAACTTATACTCTGTTATGGTTAAATTTTGCAATTAATCCGCGGATCACATGCGTGCCGAACCGTGGGGCTTGGTCCGTACGGATGATGGATCAACTACGATCCGTTTAACCACTACTTCAAACTAAATTGAGGGAAAAATATCAAAATGCTAAATTTGTTTTAATCCCCCCTACTTAGATCTTCTCAAAGTTTGGCACAGTTTTGAAGATTATAACCTTTACCAAAAACAACCAGTTCCAAGCACTGGTCCAGTACTCAGACGGAATGACCTCTCAGCATGCAAAACTTGTAAGTGTCACAGCGGATCAATATCTTAATGGATGAATGGGCAGCTAAATCCCTTCTGAACCCTGTAATCATTTGGCTTAACATTCAACAGTCTTTAGATGGACAGAACATCTACAATGCCTGCTGTACCCTTCGCATCAGTTTCTCTAAGCTCACCAGCTTGAATGTTAAGTACAACAACGATAAGAGCAGAGACTACACTCGCCCTGACTTACCTACAGGAGACAGTCATCCTGCCCTCAATGCACAGACGATGGCTGCAGCTGCCTTGAGTAAAACTTAATCTAATACTTTATTGCTGTATTTAATAAATGGCGTTTTCATGCAGAAAATCACAAACTGCATTTTCTTTGCACTCAGCTGCTCCTGGTATCATCTCTGCATCACCATATGCTGGGGCTCATGGTTTCCCACCAACATTTGCCATTCAGCAGGCAGCAGGTCGGTCACAGCCTTTATAATGGATCTCTGTGGATTGCAGTGGCACAGTTTCTCAGCGTATTATACATGCTGTATACTGACGGGTGTCCCTCCCACAGGTCTGTCTCTGCAGGGTATGCCTGCCGGGGCTCTTGCATCGCTCGGTGTCCACGGTGCCGCGGCGGCTGCTGCTGCAGCAGGACGCCTGAGTTTTTCTGGTCTCGCTGCTGGAGGAAACAGTGTCCTGCTGGTCAGCAACCTTAACCCTGAGGTTAGTCCCTTTTTTGAATAGTTTAGATTCGCTTAGCTGTTAGTTCATTAGGCTCTGGTTTATGTTTCAGTAAGCCAGACATGATTTCGGTTAGAACTGTATAGTTGATGGACAAAAATAGAGAAAAGAAAAAGTGTTGGTGGGAAATAATTAGATGGCATCTAGTGATTTAACAAAATAATTCTGGAGCTCTTCAAACCATGTACTGTGCGTTTATGACCGTGTGGAGGCTCGTTTGCTATTATATAAACATGCATGTCAACCGTTTCTTAATATTTGTTGACTTTTGTCTGAAGCCATCTAAAACATTTCATTTCTAGTGTTTCTTTAGAGCTGTGAGTATATATAGTCTCTATCTTTCCTGTATTTCATTGTTAATCTTCTCTCCTTTCTTTTATTTCCTTAGTGTTCCTATAGTGAAATGTATTTAATTTAGCAAGTTCTGCTGAATGGAACACTACATTTTTTTTCTTTGTGTATACTGACCTTGTTTTTTTTTACTTCCTTTTTCTTGTTTCTCTCCCTCCCCATTCCCCTTCCCCCTTTTATTATTTTAATACCTTGACCTGGAATCTTTTGCCAACTGACTGCACCACTTTTGTTATAATATTTGTTAATGTTAAACTCCCTACCAACTCAAACCATATGGTTCCCAATTCACGCCAATATTGGATACATATACAATTTGTTTATCTGCTGTACAACCAACACACAACAACATCCCCAACCCACCATCACTATGTTGTCGGATATCCTCCTCCTTTACCTCTACCCTTCCCCCACCTTTCCATCATGAACAATATCACCCACCTTCATGGTCCTACCACCGTTTTTCTGAGGATCAGGGGCTCACCAAGGACTACAGCAACTCTCCTCTTCACCGCTTCAAAAAGCCAGGCTCCAAGAACTACTCCAACATCTTCCCTCCTTCCTCTACTCTCCATCTTTCCAATATACCGTGAGTCCACTAAAATTAGACCAATCTGTTTGGTAGTCTTTAGCATTGACTTATTTAACACCAATGTCTTCTCTTTGCAGACCTTCTGTCACTGAGGATCATCTCAGAGACTTGTTTCTAAGTTCAGGAGCTGTGGTTAAGGCCTTCAAGTTTTTCCAGTAAGACATTCTACAAATTTGAGTTCTACAGATGTTGCCATGATATTTCCTTGAAGTCTTCAAATGTTGTCAATTCTTTCAGGAAAGACCGAAAAATGGCTCTTATCCAGTTGGGCTCTGTGGAGGAAGCAATCGAGTCTCTGATCAAATTCCACAATCACGACCTGGGAGAGAACCATCACCTCAGAGTGTCTTTCTCCAAGTCCACCATCTGATGGAGGCTGTTTTGTTTTAGAGAAGGTGAAAGGACTGTCACTTTAGACCAAACTTTAAGCCTTCCACAACTTATATCACTGTGGACAAATGTTTTCCACAACACACACTTCATCATTCCTTTATTATATCTATTTTCAAATATGTATGTCTATTTGTAATTCCACTTTGAACCCAACATGACTTGGGTTTTGATAGTACCTTTTCTCAGACGGTTTGTCTCATGATTTAGTTGATCATTGGCACACATCGGTTTTGGATCATAGATGCTGCGTAGTTTACACTTGTGCCTCTGCGGAAAGCCGCGCCCTTTCAGGTTGCACACGCAAAGCCTTGTTTTGTTTGTTGAACCTATAATTAACTTTTTCGAAGATATTTCCTATTTGCCTTTCCAAAAAAAGCAACTGTGCCTTACATGGTGCTTAAAGTATATCTTCTTAATGGCCTTAGTAATGTCTTGATGTTTTTGGCTTCTTTGCAGGAACCATTAACATCATACATACAAAAAAAGACTGCCTGATGTTCCCAGGTGGTCTGTTTAAATTTGACTAGTGAAAGAGCAGGAATGTTTTCCTGTGAAAGGCAGCAACTAGTTCAGAGTTCCTTACAGGCTTTGGTTTTGTACCTGACTGTCACAGCTTATTTTGCATATAGTTGTTCTATATATGTGGTTCCTACTCCTTATTTACCATTTTCTAAGATATTCTTTAGTTTCATTCCATATTATTTTAAGTCTCACACATTTGTATACTGTATCATCTTTTTGGGCATTGGCTCGCTGCGCTCTCTGGGTCTAGACCGTCATATTTTCCATTCAGTTGGGAGCGGGGCACATATTCTCCCCCCCACACACACACACACACACACACACACACACTTTTCCCTGTTGCTTATTGAAGGTTTTGTTGATTACAAAACCGCTTGCAACTGCTTTACATCATTTTTTGGTTATTTTGAGTGTGGAAAAGGAAGTCAAGTTCACAAGAGTTATAATGAATTTGTAAACTGTTTATTTGGACCTACCAGAGCGCATGTTTCTACTGTCCATTTCTGTCACTTGCCTTTTGTGTTAAAGAATATTAGCATTGCAGAGTCTTAATCTCCTGTGTGACGTTTTGTGTGAACTGCAACACCTGTGATAAGACTTCAGACTGTTTATAGCACTTTGTGTGGGGGGGGAAATATTAAGGCCTTGTTCTTTCTGATGCATCCATTTCATGTTGATTGTGGCATGAGTCTTGATGTGCAGACATTCCCTTTTACTTTTCAGCTTGTACTTGTACTATGGGGGAAATTCTTAGTTTCTTTTATCCTTTGCAATTTAGCAGAATATTGGTGTTACTGACAGGTGTTGCAGGTGTTGAGCTTGTTTGGGTGGGTATTCATTCATTTTTTTTTTTTTTCCTGAAGAGTAGCATGATGGACCAAAGCATCTTCCCTGTTCTGCGAGCCAGTTTTTGATATCTTATTTGATAGCTTGTATCTTTACTGTGCAGCGACATTCTGTTTTATCAACCGCTTTGATTTCAGTGGGCAGAAGGCGGAAAAAATTGAAGGCGTATGTGTATATTATTGCCTTTGTTTACAAGAAGCAACACAAGATCTTGAAAAGAAATTATTACAAATTAGAGAAGACGTTGCAGGCTTTTTTGGCCTCAAGTATGTATCAAATGATTATTTCTGTTATCAGAACAGAACCAAACAGAAGTCTTAAAGTAGCAATAGAGCTCCTTTCTATTGCGTTAGTTAAACTTCCTTGTTTTTCCCAGTATGGAAGTAATGTTGAGAAACAGAGTGGGTGAGGGCTACTGTATATAATTAGTTTTGTACAAGTAATTGAAAATCAACGTAATTTCTGTCAAACATGTATATTTTGATAAGGTTATAGCAGACATTCAGCTCATTGTAGAGCCGCCTTTTTTTTATTACACAATATTAAAAGAGATTCCAACACATTGTGTCTGAACATGTAATTGCCCTCTTGAGAGCTTAACCTTCTTTTGATTTAGATGCTCATACTTTTTCTGTCTTCAATAAATCTTTCTGTTTCTTGCTTTTACTCTTTTGTCTCTTAATTTCTGAAGTTATTAAACATCCTGACCTTTTCACATTCTACATCTGTATGCTCTCAGTCATGTGGTTAACAACCTCTCTTTTCGACCTTCCTATATTTTGGAGAGACCTTTGACTCATTGGTTTCACTAACTAGTTTCTCACCATCTGTTTGCTGTTACAGGATACAGAATGAGAAATCAGTGTATGAATTTGCTTTAAATGTGAAACTATTTGAATTGAGTAACAGCTTCACGTTGCTCGGTTAGAAAAAAATTTAGGATTGGGATATTCAAAAGGAGGTATATATATATAAAAATGCAGTACACGGTCTAGACTGAAATATGACAAATTATTTTTTTTACATAATGCTTCATTGCTAATGTAAACGCTTACAATTTTAAGTGTTTTTATACGTTATTACCATATTTAAACAGACTTTTCATGTTTGGATACACTAAGCTGGAGCCATATGCACTTTTAAAGTGAAAAGTATATAGAGGGACTAATACAAGTCTACATTTTATATAAAATATGAAGATCTCTCTTAATTGTTATATGGAGATCCTTGAACAGCAGGTGGCGCACTTGCTTAAGATTCAAAACTGGGTCTTTCCGTCATTTCAGTGCCTTTTGGGCTTTGATACTTGTGGAAAATGTGTTTCTAAGTGTCTTTGTTTTTATTATAGAGGAGCTTGTAAAATGTTTTAAGTCATTTGTCAAGTGCTCAAAGCTTATGTACCTTTTGTCAGGATTATAATCACACTGTGCAACATGTTGGAGGGTTTAAGATTGTATTGCCAACAACAAAATTAATCTGTTCGTCAATCTACAAGTTATGCCGAGTTCACACTGCACGATTTTAGCACGATTTTTCACTCGTCATGCAATGTGAACCCCCCTGTCGCCGATCCATCGTGCAATGTGAACACAGCAGCAACTGAATGCTACCCCAGATAGTCACGCAGTGTGAAAACAACGGCGATCCGACGAGTTTGAAAATCGTGCAGTGTGAACTCGGCATTAAAAAATAAGAAGGAACTACATACCTAGTTCAGGTGGTAAATGTAAAATTTTGAATAGTTGAGATTTAAATTTGTAGAAGGAAAGGAGATCAGAGGTTAGGACTTGGAATATGTTGAGTTAAAATTTAGCCAACATGCAATGAATAAATCCACACCAAATCGGTTTAATCATAAATCTACTCCCCTTGAGGTCACTGGACTAGACTTGCACATGGGTTGTGTGTTCTGATAAAATAGTCTGGCTTTGGCTTTATTTTTGTCTTACAACATTCTTGCTTATTTATTTTATAAATCACTTTTTCTTGCCAATCTGCCTATCTCTTCCCCCATCTCTTTCTCATTTTCTAAAAGTATTGCCTGCTTTTCTCAGGGTCAGAATCCTTGGTATGCCGCTGCTGCACATCCCTGCAATCAAAATGATAAAATATGCAAATGGATTTCATATCCAAATAAATTCAGATCCAAAATTCAGATGTCCACCCGATTAAGATCATTGAGGCATCAGAACCGTAACAGACAGGACGTGGAGTGGGTCCAAAAAATAAAAATAAAATGTATACGTGTAGTGTGCAGTGCTGCGTTGATTACTTGCAAATTGTGGTCCATTACTGATTAAAAAAATTACATGACAAAAACTAGTTTGTAACATCATATGGATTACTTTAATGTAGTCTGACTACTTTTTGATTGCTTTTAGATTACTTTTGATCTAACCCATTTATCACACACTTGAATTTAATTGTGTACCATATTTATAAAACAAAATAATAAAAAAGAAAAAATTCCATGCTTTGTCATCAACATGCATTAAACATTATATTAGAGCAGGGCTGTCCAAACTCGGTCCTGGAGGGCAGATGTCCTGCAGAGTTTAGCTCCAACCCTCATTAAACGCACCTGAACCAGCTAATCAAACTCTTACTAGGCATAGGAACTTCCAGTCAGGTGTGTTGAAGCAAGTTGGAGCTAAACTCTGCAGGACACCGGCCCTCCAGGACCGAGTCTGGACAGCCCTGCATTAGAGCATGAGAATTGGGGTGAATCAGTACATTTTAAAATGCAATATACTCTAATTACAAGTACTTAATTTTTGGAATCTGATTACGTAATCCAGAGTATATGTAATCAGTTACTACCCAGCACTCCTGTCTGTCTGTCTGTCTACACACATATAATATATACTGGGGACCTAAATGGTACAGAATCATTGGAATAACATAGTTTTGGTGCGTTCATAGAATTGAGAGGCATGGCATTGGGCCAGCCATTTTTCACAGTTGAGAGAATTTCTTTATTGGATCATGTAAAGCAGCTCATTTAAAGAGGCGCCAATCCATATTATTGAGAAAGCTATCTACTAGCCCTATACCAGACTCGGTTTTTCAGATATTTAAATAATTTGCCACCAATGCTATTTGCTGCTTGACATTTCAGTAAATTGGTAAGGTAGTTAAGCAAAGGGAAATGTAGTTCATTGAATTTTTTGAGCCATTTAAATATGAATAGAGCAGTAGTTCTCCCAGCAAACTTTCAGGGAAACTGAAGGATTACTTATTTATAAATATATAGAAATGATATAACAAAGGAAAATGAAAACTTGCTGAAAATTTACTCACTCTGAGTCTATCCAAGATAAGTGTTTCTTTGGATTACATTACTTAACCACCAACGCTCTGTAGCGAATGGGTGCCATCAGAACTCCAGCCCATCAATTCAAATCTTGTGAAGCAAAAGGATGTAATAAACAAAACCATCAAGATGTTTTTAACTTCAAACTGCTGCTTCTGGCTAAAAGACAAGTGCTTTATCCATATTATTTCTTGCTCTAGTTAAAAAGCAAGCCATCTTGTCTGAATCAAGAGAGAAATATGCATAGATCAATTCCAAGCCAGTTCTAAAATATGTTGGTAGATTTTGATGCGAGAGGATAACACCGGAGGAAGTATTATTATGGATTACGGAGTCATATTTTGGCCAGAAGCAATGGTTTAAAGTTGCCTTTATGGATTTGTTTGTTACAAACATTTTTTTTTTCACATCACAAGACATTAATTGATGGACTGGCGTCATGTGGACTATTTGTTGATTATTGTAATGTTTTTATCAGCAGTTTGACTCTCATTCTGACGGCACCCATTCACTGCAGGGGATTGGTGAGCAAGTGATATAATGCTACGTTTCTCCAAATCTTTCTGATGAAGAAAAAACTCATGTTGAAAGGGCTGAGGATGAGTAAATTTTCAGCAATTTCTTCATTTTTGGGTGAACTTTTACTTTACTTAAAATGAGAGAGAGCAATAATGAAAATGTACGACATATAAATTGCCATTTCTTATGTTGTATTTATTGAACCTATCTTTTATTTTTATCTGGTTTTTGTTAATAAAAAAAGTTTGAAAACAAGCAGCTTCAAAGCTGATTTACCAGATAGCATGCATAAATGAGGGATTTTAGATGTTATTGTGGGCAACAGTTGATAACTGCTGTATAAAGAAGGCGCTAACATGCTCAAGAAAGCAATTTAAAGACGCATATGAGTAATCTTGAGATGACAAAGTAAATTGCAGAGGTGAGTTTGAAAAGAGCTCGTGTAGGCCCCGCCCCCTCCTGAAGGTACACCGCTGATGATAACTGTCGCCCACGAATCAGATTCAGGATGAACCGATGAATTATGAAGTGCGCGAGTCAGATGCCTTGGAAAGCTTACACGATTTAGTCGATCGAAGCTAAACATTTAGCAGATCCGCAAAGCTGATCCAAAGAGTGAGCAAAGGCAGAGATGCCTAAGGCAGAATGGGGCAAAATTGCCTTTGTTCCTACAGGACAGAGAGGACTCGTGCAAACGGCTTGAGATGTGCGTAGGATATCTGCTTATCAACTGGAGCGAGCCAGAAACAACACGATTCCGCCAACAACTAACACGCAACTTGTGCGAATAAGATGGAGCGCTGAGGAAACGCGAATCAGAAAGGCGTGCGTTACAGACGGGGATGTGTTTCATGTGTGCTTCTCGTGCAGACCACATGGGGTAGAGGTATCTGGAAGTTGCAGCGCTGCAAACGAGGAGCGCATCACACTGTCCCGCGTTTAGATGATGGACGGATTTCTGACAGAGCGCTAGAAAATGACCGTGGACCGCATTGGAGACCTTCTGCAGCATAAGAAACAATTGTAATGGATTTTTCCCTAAAAAGAACATCAAATGTATGCAGTTTTATGAAGTAAACTGCTCATTCGCTCGGAAGGAATGAAAATCGCTCTGGATTACATGTCTTGTTATGATGTTCAAAACTGCGTATATACATTCACTCAAGCAAGCAGGTATTTGAAAAGTTGTCACTGAAATAAACGACCGTGAATTTTCGTTTGGAGGTGAGGACTAGTATAACAACTCAAATGGAGTTGCCGCTGGTGGTTTTTACGGTAGTGTGCTGGGTCTCCGTATGGTCGGACGACCGGATCATCTCAGACAGACACTCGGTCTACTGGAACAGTTCAAACTCCAGGTGAGTGTAGGCTACGGCAGGCTCTTTTAATATTCAGTGCTTAAAACTGATTGGTATCGTTACAATTTCCTTTACATCATGTGATAGTTATTATCTGCTACATTTTTTTACCAATTAATCTGTACAGTCATGGCCAATAGTTTTGGCAGTGACATAAATTTTGTGTTTTGCGCAGTTTGCTGCTTCAGTATTTGAAGTTTATTTTCCAGGATTCCACTTAGCTGTCACGGCAGTCATTCGTCAGGATGGAGCGACAACAGTAAGTATTAGCAAAACAACAAAGCTAATGCTTTTCACGGAACTTACCTAATTATCCATTATACATTGTGATATATCCTGGTTCGTTGGTCCATTAGATCGGATTGCTTTCTCACTACAACCGAACCACTCCAGAGTTCAGTTTCAATCGAGTCGAGACCACCTCGTTCAGACGATCTTGGACCGATTGTTTTGGCGTGGATCCGGGCGCGATTGCCGTGTTCAAATATGCCCAAACGAACCGAGTTAAGGGGGGAAACGCGCCAGGTTCCGAAATAACGAGCCAGGTGTGAAAGCACCCTAAAAGTCTTGAACTCACTGTTCATGCAGATGCTCTCACACCAACCTGCTGCCATTCCTGAGCAAGCTCTGCACTGGTGGTTACACGATTCCGTAGCTGACTCCTGCATTTTATTCATTATTAGCTCATTTCAAGATCAAAGACCGTAATATGAGAGCGTGCGGCATCAGCACTGGAAAGATAAGTTTGTCTTACTACTTTTAATGAAGATGATTGTGTGTTGACCGTCTGCATATTACTTTGTTTCATTTGCGGCAGTTTGCACATCGGCTTGCTGAAGAGATACTCAGCTACTCGTCCACTGCAATGTGTGTTGCATTAGCGCAGTCATATCTGACTATAATGTCATATAGCCTATAACACGCTCTCTCACGTTTATTATTTTAACATTTTAGGAGGAGTAAAATTTACATATGTGGTTTCAACAACCAGATGCATTTACACTTCGTCTGGAATGCGGCCTAGACCACCTCCTGAAGTGGTTTGAGTGATCGGATTTATATCCGTCTCGAATGCGTTTCGGAGGGCATTTACACCTGGCCTTTTCACGATCGGATAGCTATCCGATCAGAAAAAACGCATGAAGTGACCAGGTGTCAGCCCCTTTGTGGCAGGATTTTTTGTGTGAAAAGTTCATTTTTTGGCCAATAAAGCTTTTAGCAATTATTTAAAATGCATCTGCTCACTCACAATAATCTAGAAACGATGTGAATGAACATAACAACAGCTTAAGCAGCAAACTTTACAAAACACAAAATTTATGTCACTGCCAAAACTTTTGGCCATGACTGTATTTGCATTATCTAGTCTGTATTTGTGTTTCATATATTAATTTATGGCTAGTCCAGTTGTTGCTGATACTGGGTTTTACTAGTAAAGAACCAGTTACTTCTGAAGTATGCTTAAGTGTCTAATAAATATTTTTGAGACATGATCTTGATATTTACTGTGACATTTCTGTCTATTCTCTCTTTGCTTTTTTATTTGTATATGTAAGGACTAGTCAGAATGGCTACTTTAGTCTTACTAGCAAGTTTTTTACTAGTAAAATTGTTACCAGTAATGGAATATACATCAAGTATTTGAATAGTTAGTAGCTAACTAGAATAAGTATCGAACTAAAATGTTTGAGTACCTTAATAATTATTAGTAAAAATTGAGTGCCAGCAACTATTTAAATACACATTAGTTAAATGGACATAGTTGATTTTTTTGCAATTCATTGGCAAAACTTGCAATTACCAGTACTATTGGGGTACTGACTTGTAGCAGTTGACCACTAGGATAAAACGAATACCAGTGACTAATTGAATAAGTACTTGTCACTAATGAATTACTAGTAATCAAAATAAGTGCTAATAAATTAAAATAAACACTAGAGTTTTAAGGAATACATGTTAAATTGGCTTGCCATACTCTGCTCAAACCTCAGGCCATGTATTATCACTGCTATATGCACAGATGATTGAGATCGGTTTTTCTTGTGTTTGCAAAGTACTACATTTATAAATGACAAGGTGTAAGTTAAACTTTTGTGTGGATTGTGGAATTTGCGTCATTCGTCAAAGATTTGCGACTGAGTATGGTTTAGCACTTCTTATCCTCTTAGAAATTACTCAGGGTTGAGAAAAAGCAAGCAGAGATCATATTTGCCAGGATTTGTTCACTCTTGCTGATGCTGTCAGAGCTTGGCACTGTAATATTTTCTAAATTAATAATAACAATAGCAACACTTTGGTTTAATCCTTTTAATGTGGAGATGCCAGAAAAATACATAATAATGCTCCATGCACGCTGCTGGAGCTGAATATAATGGTATTTTTCAGAAGCTTTGCATGAACTGAATCAAGAATTTCAGCTTATTATCTTGATGTGTTTTTGTCAATCAAGAGATTCATGATGAGCAGCGACCCCAGACTCTTTCACAGGCTGACAGGTTTTGAAATCATAAGTTTTGTGTGAAGTTCCTTGACATTCCTCCTTATTTCAAGGGTATCTGTGAGCAGCGTTCTCTCGCTAGCTTGGAGGGTTTGCTCAGGGGATGTCAGCCTAATGGCTTTTGACATGCAGCTCCTCAGGTAGAGCTTGGCTAGATAAATAAACACGGCGAAGGTGCTCTCACGGCTGAATTAACAAAGTTAAGAGTGGCTGTCTTGCAGTACATCAGTAGTCTGCCGAGGTTTAAAATATTAAAGAGGCTCAGAGGAAGATTTCTTCTCGAGCTGGGTGCATGCTCTTCCACCTCAATAAAATGTAGGGCTGGATTTGAATTTTTTGCATTGTATAAGCCACCCTGATGCATTCAATCTGCATTAATCCTTATTTAGCAGAAAACTCTACCATTTTCCACTCTTAGGACGATAAATATGCAGTGTTAGAGTCCCAAATCCATTTCCCCTATTTGAGTTCTTTTCAGTTGATAGGTTTTGCTTACATTAGGTTCGTAATATATTTATACGCTGCAGTAGTTTTCAGATAAACTTCCCCAAATGCATTTCTTAGTCTGTAACCCTGTTGCCTGCGTTCACAAAGAACATGTATTTTTATTATTTTCCAGCGACTCTATCAAAAAGAGCCGCATTTGCGGCCCACCAAGGGATTGTGTGAGAAACAATCCAAAAAAGAACGCCCAGGGTTCAACTTTACTTTTCAGACCGTCCTGACCTCCCTTCTAGTCCTCTCGCAGTATTGTAGTCACAACTGAGGTGAGCCTTTTGCAGGGCAATTCACCTTGAGCATTAAAAGCTTGCCATGAATCATATTTTCTCTCTCTTAAGCTCCCTGTCAGGGGTTTTCTATTGAAGCCCACACTGAAAAGAAGATGGACATCCCCTCAATGCCAATATGGCCAGCCTCTTGGGGGTCCAGATAAAAAAAAAGGGAAGATGCCCAGCTCTGTAACCCAAGAGGATGGACTAATCTAATCCTGTGGTTTATCCTTCAAAAGGCTCTCTCTTTTTGAAAGCTTTGAGGTTCTTAACAGAAGTCCCGGCTCATAGCCCTTCGCTCAAGTTGTGCGAAGGGCTTGGCTGGGGACAACTCAGTGCTGGATGTTGTCTCTGCCTTCGCAAAAGGAACGAAGAAGAAAAAAACAATACAAGTGGAGCTGAGGAATCCAGTGCTCACAGTGATTCATAGATGGCTGCTGTCATTATTCCCTTGACAGCTCACACTGCTTTTTTTTCTGAGACACTGCAGCTGCCTTTTGGGGCCTGCAGTAGTGCTTTCTGTTGAAGTCCTGGCACAGCAAAGCAATGGAGGGTTATTTGCATGCAGGTTCATCTCTAAATTGTTACCATTATGGAAACAATGAATATGGGAAAAGGTCTAGAATGGAAGCCACGAATAGCGTGGGTTCTGAGAAAGGCTATGAATATCTTAAAGTAAATTGCCTGCGCAACACACAATGCGTCGACGGGGCCAGTCATTATATCGGCTTATTGTTATTCGTGATTGAATTTAATTAAACATAACCTCTCGTCTGATTGTTTGCTGTCAGATGGAATTGCACAACCATGTCTAATGATTTTGACGATCCACAGCTGTGTTGATGATGTAAAGACTTTGAAATACCCGACTTTGAGCTCTCTTTACAACGGGGAGAATCCTGAGCACTGCGGCTCAGATTTATACGTTACTCTTGACTCGGTCTAGTCATTTACCTCAGTCGTTTTCAAGTGGAATTTAATTTTTGAAATGAAACTCATTTATCTCTTTGTGCTCGTTTGTCCTTATGCTGAGATACAGCTCTGAGTATCCGAGCGCTATCAAATTTCCTCCTCTCAGACAAAGCAGGTAGAAGCTCAAGTAGCCGTGTGCACAGTAAAGGGGTTTGATACTCATGTTCTGATTTGTCATTCCTGTCTATCTCAAGTTCTCAACCTTTGAGGCTGAAAAAATGTATTTTCAAGATGTTTCACCCAGCTGTTTCTGCAGAGGCGGTCCCGGTATGAGGCCACAGCGTTGAAATCTTTCACCAGATGAATTACGGTTTCCAAACACGGCACAATCCTGTCAGGAAACGGGAGGCTTTTGTAAACTGCAATGGTTGTTAGTTAAGTTTTCTCCTTTCTCTTTCTGTTTGAACATCTCTTTTTGATTTGACTGCACTCTCCAGGTGCTTCACCGTGACTCATTGTCACATGGGAATACGTCTTGAAATATGTAGGTTCACTGGTTAAAGATTCATCCCCTTTGGTTTTATCATTTGGTTGTAACCGAGTGCTCAGTTCTGTTTTTAGTTTTAGTCCTGATTGTGTCATATTAGTGGTAGTTATTTATTTTTGCATGGTGAAAGTGTTTAGGTGCTTAAGTTTTCGAGCCCTGTTAGACCCTAATTACATCTCAGTATCTGTTGTGTTTTAATGTAGTTTCATGGTTTTCCCAAGGCTTAAACATTTCAGCATGTGGATAAACAGTGGATGTTTATCTGAGGAAAACA